GGGCCAGTCTTAGGGGCCGATGTCCACAGCATGGTCCCCGGCTACAGGAGGGCATGGGCCAGCAGCAGGCCTGGAGCAGGTGCCACAGTCCCCAGCTCTGTGAATTCTGCGTGGGGTGCTGGGTAGGCCCAGTTAGGAAGCCCGGTCTGCAGTGTCACCAAGAAGCTAGCTGTGAACAGAGTCAGCAGACAAGGGGGAGTGTGGATTCACACTCTGGAGAGCCTCATGGAGCGAGACTGGGGCCTGGAAGTTCCAGAAGTCTCCGTCTTTGCTTCCTCGGGCTGCCATAGCAAATGACCGCCAGCTAGGAGCTTAAAGCAGCAGACATTTATCCTTGACAGCGCTGGGAGCCCGAAGCCCGGAACCAAGGGGTCTGCAGGGCCAGGTTCCCCCTGTGGGCTCCTGGGGAGGACCCTCCTGGCTGCCCTACCTCCTGGTGGCCCTGGTAGTCCGTGGCTTACAGACTCCTCCCTTGGGTACTGTCTCTCTTGTCACAGGACTCTCCCTGTATGTCTCTGTCCACATGACTTTCTTGTAAGGACACGCGGCCTTGGACTTGGGGCCCACTCTTCCCACTATGGTGTCATCTTAACTTGGGTACATCTGCAAAGACCCTGTTTCCAGTGCCAGGTGGAAGGCCTTAATCATGCCTTTTAGGGGCACACGATTCCACCCACAACATTCCTTTGGGAAGTGGATCCTTGTGGCTGGAGGTTGGGGGCAGAGGGCGCCGCGGTGCCTGGGGCTGGGCAGGTGCGCAGGCCCCAGCAGGGAGGACCTGGTTGGCAGGCCAAGGAGTGGGGACCATGGGAACCATGGAGAGCTGGTCATGGTGGGAAGACAAGGGCAGATAATGTGCAGGACACCTGCCACAGGCCAAGTGAGAGAGCAAGGAGGAGGTCCAAGCGTGAGGAGGCCTGGATGCCTCTGAGGCCGTCCTGCATGTGGCAGGCTGGGCTGGCCCCACGAGGGCCTAAACACCCTTCCTGCAGCAGCCACAGGAGTGACCCAGCTTGGGAGCAGAGCAAGTGGGAGGCTGAGATGGAGCATGGCCAGCCCAGCTGACCCCACTCTTGCCGCTTGTCTCCCAGGGAACCCAGGATCCTGGAGCCCCTTCCCTGTGGCTACAGACACCAAGAGCCATCTCTGAAGAGGAATCAGAACTCTTTGCTGTGTGTGCACCTGCACATGTGCACACATACACTCAACGCATGCTCACGTTCACACACAACACACATTCATACACACACACATATCCATGACCCCTGCTCCCAGCTCTTACTATGCTGCTGTGATTGGGGCCTGGCCCAGGCCTTTGGAAGACTGCATGTCTGGTGGCAAAGCCATAGAGCGCGCTCAGCCCAGGCCTCCGTCTTTGGAAGATACCAGTCTGAAGGACACTTGGCTTCTTGGGTCTGGTGCCACTCTCATCCATGTTCTCATTCCTTAGGTTGTGATGAAGGACTCGGGTCTCCAGGGCTGCGGCTGGGGGCTTCCCCTGGCCTCCTGGGAGAGTGAGTGGGCACTGTGGCCCCAAGCGGAAGGAAGATAGGCTGGGGCTGAAGGCTCTCGCTGGTCGACACCTGGGCACTTCCCTCTCATGAGAGCCACAGGCTGGTGGGCTCAGCCATCTGCCAGCCGGTGTGCTCCAGGGAAACGAACCATAGGAGATGGATGGTTGGGAGCTAGCCAACTAGCTAGACAGCAGGGGCCCGGGGAGAGATACAGACGTGGGGAGTAGATAGACAGACACAGACGGATAGACTGAGGAACTTGGCTCATGCAGTTGCCAGGGTTTGCAAGTTAGGAAGCTGTAGGTTGGCCTGCAGGCTGGCAACTGAGGCGGGAATGGGTGCAGCCCATGACTGACCAGGGTTGACCGGGGAAGAACTTCTCGGGGATGCATCAGTGTTTGCTCTGAAGGCCTTCAAGGGATTGGATGAGGCTCCCTGTGTTATTTGCGGTGGTCTCCTTACAGTCAGCAGCCTGCTGAAGGGCAGCACAGCACAGAAACCCCGCAGCAACACCTGGATGACTGCTTGATGGGATCACTGCGGATTGTAGCCTAGACAGGCTGACACATACAACCTGTCACCTTTCCCTACCGACAAGGGAGACACAGACCTTCTCCTGACGAAAAGCCAAGTAGAAAATGCCCCTGACAAGAACGCACTGGGCCAGCAGCCTCAGAGTCAGCAGGGCAGCCATGCCTCCCGCCAGGAGTCCCCTCTCCAATCACGAGCCCTCCCTGCTGCACCTCTCTAAGCAGGGACGCAGCCTAGCACCTGCTTCGTGCTCTCCCTCTGCTTCTGTTTCCTCCATGGATAGATCATCACTTGACATCCTATCCCATGCCCATTTACCTATTGTCTGAGTCCCTTACTAGGAGGGGCAGGTCTTCCTTAGACAGCTAGGTGTGGGTCTCCATCTTAGTGCAAAGTGGGCTCATAAACTCATACCTGCTGAGCTCCCATGCTGTCCAAGGCGCTCTGATCTTATCAACCTCCTTTATGACACCCCCGGGTCCCAGCTGCTGACACAGCCAGGTTCTGACTTCTCCCGTGCAAGGCCTTGCAGCTGCCAATGACCTCAATGAAAGAGAAACAGCCCAAGGGGTTCTGCCTGGGCTGGGGGGAGGGGGCTCTGTGGGGCTGAGGCTGTGGCAGGGCAGTGCTGTCGATGTGTCTCTTTTGAGTCCTTAGAAAGTTAGATGCAGGGTGTGGCAAAGGGGCAGTGTGCTAAGCAGCCCCTCCAGAGGCTGGGGTCCCACAACAGACTGCCGGTGATGAGAGCCGTTTGCCCAGTGAGGCAATCTGAGAAAGACGGGGCGTGTAGGGTGCAGTGAATGTGCAGCGAGGTGGGGGTGCAGTGAGGGGGGGCACAGAGCATGTGCAGTGATGTGGAGTGTAGTGGGTGTGCCATGATGTGGGAGTGCAGTGGATATGCAGTGATGTGCAGGGTGCCGTGTGTGCAGTGATGTGGGGATACAGTGGGGGTGCAGTGATGTGGGGATACAGTGGGGGTGCAGTGATGTGGGGGTACAGTGGGGGTGCAGTGATGTGGGTGTGCAGTGGGTGTGCAGTGACACGGGGGGTGCAGTGCATGTGCAGTGATGGGGTGCCGTGGGTGTGCCATGATGTGGGAGTGCAGTGGGTATGCAGGGATGTGCGGGATGCAGTGTGTGTGCAGTGATGTGGGGGTACAGTGGGGGTGCAGTGATGTGGGTGTGCAGTGGGTGTGCAGTGACACGGGGGTGCAGTGCATGTGCAGTGATGGGGTGCCATGGGTGTGCCATGATGTGGGAGTGCAGTGGATATGCAGTGATGTGGGGATACAGTGGGGTGCAGTGATGTGGGTGTGCAATGGGTGTGCAGTGACACGGGGGGTGGAGTGCATGTGCAGTGATGGGGTGCCGTGGGTGTGCCATGATGTGGGAGTGCAGTGGGTATGCAGGAATGTGCGGGATGCAGTGTGTGTGCAGTGATGTGGGGATACAGTGGGGTGCAGTGATGTGCAGGGTGCAGTGTGTGCAGTGACATGGGGGTGCAGTGCATGTGCAGTGATGTGGGGGTGCAGTGGGTGTGCACGGGTGGGTACAGTGCATGTGCAGTGATGTGGGAGTGCAGTGGGTATGAAGTGATGTGGGGGTACAGTGGGGGGCAGTGATCGGGGGAAGCAGTGATGTGGATGTGCAGTGATGTGGAGGTACAGTGGGGGCAGTGATGGGGGTGCAGTTTGTGTGCAGTGATGGGGGTGCAGTTTGTGTGCAGTGATGCGGGAGTGAAGTGGGTGTGCAGTTATGTGGGGGTACAGTGGGGGGAAGTGATGTGGGAGTACAGTAGGTATGCAGTGATGTGGGGGTGCAGTGAATGTGCAGTGTTGGGGGTTCAGTGGGTATGCAGTGATGTGGGGGTACAGTGGGAGACAGTGATGTGGGGGTGCAGTGATGTGGGAGTGCAGTGTTTATGCAGTGATGTGGGATGTGGTGAGTGCAGTGATATGGGGGTGCAGTGGGTGTGCAGTGATGTGGGGGTGCAGTGGGTGTGCCATAATGTGGGGGTGGCAGTGAGTGCAGTAATGGGGTACAGTGGGTGTGCAGTGATGGGGTGCAGTGGGTATGCTGTGATGTGGGGTTACAGTGGGGGCAGTGATGTGAGGGTGCAGTGGGTGTACAGTGATGGGGTGCAGTGGGTATGCTGTGATGTGGGGTTACAGTGGGGGTAGTGATGTGAGGGTGCAGTTGGTGTGCAGTGATGGGGTGCAGTGGGTATGCTGTGATGTGGGGTTACAGTGGGGGCAGTGATGTGCGGGTGCAGTGGGCATGCTGTGATGTGGGGTTACAGTGGGGGCAGTGATGTGGGGGTGCTGTTGTGGTGCAATGACATGGGAGTGCAGTGGGTGTGCAGTGAGTGGGAGTGCTGTGGGTATGCCATGATGTGGGGGTGGCAGTGAGTGCAGTAATGGGGTGCAGTGGGTGTGCAGTGGGTGTGCAGTGATGTGGGTGCGTGTGTGTGCAGTGATAGGGGTGCAGTGGGTATACAGTGATATGGTAGTGCAGCGTGTGTACAGTGGTGGGGCACAGTGGGCATGCAGTGAGTGGGAGTGCCATGGGTATGCCATGATATGGGGGTGGCAGTGAGTGCAGTAATGGGGTGCAGTGAGTGTACAGTGGGCTGCAGTGGGGGTGCAATGATGTGGGGGTGCAGTGGGTGGGCTGTGATGTGGGGGTGCAATGTGTGTGCAGTGATGTGGGTGCAGTGGGTATGCAGTGATATGGGGGTGCAGTGGGTGTGCAGTGATATGGGGCGAGGGGCAGAAAGAAAGGGTGAAACCCTTAGCCCCTGACGGAGGCTATGGGCAGCCCGGGAGACCCCTCCCCAGGTCGGCCTGACTTGCTCCCCCTCCTCCAGGGCTGTGTTGAAATGTGCTTTCCAGGTGAGACCTCCCACAACCCCTTATTTAAAGTATTACCCCTACCCCACCGCCCCCACTCACGCCTCAGTTGCCTTTCTCTCCACGACTGGACCCCTGCTCAACCCTGTAATTTGGCTATTCACTGTCCATCACTCTCCCGTGAAGCAGGGGTGGAGTCTGCCATGTTCTCTGCTAAGTCTCCAGAGCTAGGACAGGGCCTGGCACCTGACAGCCCCCAGCGCCTGTTCCTGAATGATTGAGCCACCAGGGCCTCTCCGTGGGGGTGGCCTGCTCTGTCCTGGTCACCACTGTGGCTTCCTGATTGTGGGTGCCAGTTTGATCTTTGGCCAATGAATGAGAGTGCTTGTAAATGGAGAAAGCGGTTTGGGGCTCCTCGCTTTCTGTGATCAATGGGGAGGGGATGGAGTGGGCACATGGCGTGGGGGCTCGGTCCAGGTGAGGTCTCCCCTCCACACAGCTGGGCACTATGGCCCAGAGCACTGAGGCCCAGGTTGGGGGCCCTCGGCTCCATGTTGGCGGGGTGGGGGGGCCTGAGCCACATCGCCCAAAGCCTCCGTGGCCCAGTTTCCCTCTCCTGACTGGTTCTCCTCATTGCTTGGTGTCACCCAGTGAGAATGGCTTTCAAGGGTTCCCCATGAGCCTCTGGCGTCAAAGCCAGAAGGGTTCACAGAAGTCTGATAAGCTGTGTTCCTCACAGCGATGGGCCATTACCAGGAAAGGTTACAGATTAGGGTCGGTGAAGGGACAGAGGCACAAAGGGCAGGGTCAGGAGGAGCCAAGCCCCAGCACCCGGCTCTCCTCACTCTGGGTGGACTTCCGAGGGTACCGTTTCATTCTCTGTTCAATGTGACTACACACAGGACGTGTAGCCAACCAGGGCAGCTCAGCTGAGCCTCGGAGCCTGGGGCTTGCCCTGGCCTCAGTCACACTGGTGTGGCCAACTGTCCACGTGGCTGCCCTGTGCCTCCCACCCTCCAGAGACCAAGCTGAGACCATGTGCCCTAGGCCCCCAGATAAACGGAACTGGTCCAATTCAACAGGACATCCCAAGGCCTCGAGCTCACCTCCCAGAAGCCAATCAAGGGCCAAACCCTTCTTTGCAATGGGCCGAGTTCATACAACCCAGCCCTGCGGCATTAGCCCCTTCTGCACACCACTGCCAGGGTGGGGCTCTGCGCTGGAGCCCCCCGGCCCAGCTGTGCACGCTTGGACTGGCAGGGCTTGGCCCTCTGCTAGGCTCCCCTCATTCCTTGTCTGGGGCCCCACCAACCACGGCAATGTTTGCATCGGGGGGACGTGTCCCTCTTCTCCTCTCTGAGCTCTTGGGACAGGCCCCACGACACCGAGCCCCCGCTCTGCATGGTTCTAGGATGCAGGTGCTCTGCAAGTGTTGTGAGTGCAAACCTCCAGTAGGGTGCAGTGAGCAGTCAGCCTCTCCCTGCCCGACTCATCATTTTAATGAACAGCTACCCAGGTGTGCATGGTGCTGTGTTAGGACTGGGGATGCTGGGAGGCCCAAGACAGAGGCAGCCCTGTCCTCCAGGCACAGTGGCTAGTCTGGCTGCCATTTATTCTACAACATCTGGTGCCAAACGCTGCTGGGAGAAGCTCAGGGTCTGCGGAGGCACCTGCCAGGTGCACTGCAAGGCTGAGCCTGAGCTGAGTCTGACCTGTGAGCTGAACCCTCCTTTGGGCAGGAGCCCCCCTTATGCCAGCTGTGGATGGGCCAGGGTGGGGCTGGAGTGGAGCAGCCATGGCTTCCAGGGGTCTGAAGTGTGGTGGAGTTGTGGCCTTTGCCCTGAAGCAGAGACACATCTGTGACCAGGTGTTGAGCCTGAGAGTCTCTGATGTCACGTGGGCTTTGGAATGACTGCCTCGCCTGGCACTGTGCAGAGAGGATGGATGATGGTGCTTGAGAGAGGCCTGAGGCTCCATTATTTTTACTAGAGATAGACATGGAGACGTGACATTCCCAAACTCTTCTAGCCATTCCTTCCCCTCTGGTACCCACAGAGCCAGTGCAGCAATTCACAGAATACCACCCAGGGGTTGGAGGAACTGGGTGTCAGTCCCTGACCCACTGCTGGTGGGAGACCACGCTCTGAGGCCAGGCAACATGCTGGGAGTGCAGGCTGTGTCCAGAATGGGCACCTCCAAGGGGGCAATGGGAGGGGACCCGGCCCTCACTCTAACCTCAGGCTGTCCTTGGCCTGCACAGAGTGAGGATACAGTTCCACCTGGCACAGTCAAACTGGGGTCATGTGTGCCCTGAGCTGCCACCAGAAGCATGTGCGATATTGCGGTGGTGTGAGTCCACCTGGAGTTGTGGGGGTTCCTGACCCTACAGATGTGTCCCCTCCACCCTCCCTGGGCTCCCCATCTTACCAGGGCCTCAGGCCAGTGCCTCGGAGGCTGGGCTGGGACAGGAGCATGGAGCAGGTGTCCCCACAGCGTGGCTTCCCCGGGCAAGCTTGCAGTCTTGACATTTCATTGAAGAAATGAGTGTTCCCCTTTCTGGATAAACAGGTGGTATGTGGGGTTTTTAGGAAGAAAAATGGAAAAGATAGGCCCGCAGAGGTGACCTGAGAGGTGGCCACATCCTGAGGGGCTTCTCCTCCTAGACCCACCGTCCAGTCCCTTTTCTTTGAAACCAAAAGAGCCCACCTCACTCCCGCTAAGTACCCCTAAGAGGCATTCTAGTGGCCCTGCCTGGACAGTCCTGTGAGCCAAGCCTTGGCCACACATGGCGTCCTCTTTACCCAGCATGCACTTGGGTGGGAGCCACAGACTTTCCTGAGTGACAGCGCGGCAAGGAGAGGGCTGGGACAGAGCGTCCACAGCCCTGAGAGCAGCAGATGTGCTCCGATGACAGAATGAATAGTCCACTCATTTTGCTTAGCACACAGGGGTCTCCATGGCACAGGGATAGGACAGCCCCGGGAGGGAGGTAGGGCACAAGAAAGACTGCCAGGCAGGGCTGGGCTCGGCCATCAGGGAAGGAAAGAGCTGGGTGGTGGGATTCTGCCTGGAGGGTGGTGGCCTCTAGGTGGAGGTTAGGGAGTGCCCCAGGAAGCTGGGGTGGGATCTGGGGAGATCTGGACACGTGTAGTAGGCATCGGCGGGGAGCATGGGCTCTGGAGAGTTCGGGGATGTGGGGGGGAGCTGAGAGGGACGGTCCTGAATGTGACCTTGACCATTGGTGAGCCAGCGAGGGCCTGCTGAGGCTGTCCCTAAAGGTTTAACTTCGGGCCAACATTCAGGGGCCTCCTGGAGCTCCAGGGAAGGGTCTCCTGAGCCCTGATGTTGGGGAGGGCACTACTGAGAAATATCTGTCCTTGTGGGAACACACCTGGGTGTCCCGGGAGAGAACCAGGGAGATGGGGGATGCTGCCAGAGCAGAGGAGGGTATGCCCAGTAACGAGAGAGAAAGCTGGCAGCGTGACCCACGTCTCGTTGGATGGTTCTGCCTCTCCCCCGTCATCCACGCGATGCTGTTCAGACCTCCGTCCCCGCTGCGGACACACCTGGTAGCTGTGCTAAGCTGGAAAGGCTCCCTCCGAAATTCACACCCATCCGGAACCTCAGAAAAGGACCTTCTTTGGAAGGAGGGGCTTTGCAGATGGAATTAAGGGCAGGTCCTGTTGGGGTAGGGTAGGCCCTAAATCTAATGACTGGTGTCCTAAACAAAGGAGAGACAGTGAGAAGGCCACGTGACGGATGAAGGGGCAGGCCACGTGACGGATGAAGGGGCAGGCCACGTGACAGATGAAGGGCAGGCCACGTGACGGATGAAGGGGCAGGCCACGTGACGGATGAAGGGGCAGGCCACGTGACAGATGAAGGGCAGGCCACGTGACGGATGAAGGGGCAGGCCACGTGACAGATGAAGGGGCAGACCACGTGACGGATGAAGGGGCAGACCACGTGACGGATGAAGGGCGGGCCACGTGACAGATGAAGGGGCAGACCACGTGACGGATGAAGGGGCAGACCACGTGACGGATGAAGGGGCAGGCCACGTGACGGATGAAGGGGCAGGCCATGTGACGGATGAAGGGGCAGACCACGTGACGGATGAAAGGGCAGGCCACGTGACGGATGAAGGGGCAGGCCACGTGACGGATGAAGGGGCAGGCCATGTGATAGATGAAGGGCAGGCCACGTGACGGATGAAGGGCAGGCCACGTGACGGATGAAGTGGGCAGAGTCGAATGAGGCAGCTGCCGAAGAACGCCGGGGATCGCCCGCCGTGGCGGACGCTGGAAGAAAAGCAGGAACAGATTCTCTCCTGGAGCCTTCAGGAAGTGCAGGGTACTGTCAACGCCTCGATTTGGGACTTCTATCTCCTGAACTGAGAGAGACCCCATGCCCACTGCTTCTAAGCCACAGAGTGCAGGGTGCTTCGTTATGGAAGCCCAAGGGACTGAAACCAGCACCCACTATACACCGAGTCCCAGGCCAGCAACGCCCACGCGTCTTCTACTGGACTCAGCACCCCGGGAGGGGGCATTCCTGTGTTTCTGCAACCTTTTGGGAAACTGAGGCCAAAAGAATTAGAGTCCACCGAGGATGGGAGGCTAGGGGAGGGAGAGCATTAGGACCAATAGCTAATGTATGCAGGGCCTCAAACCTAGATGACAGGTTGATAGGTGCAGCAAACCACCGCGGCACAGGCATACCTATGACACGAACCTGCCCACTCTGCACATGTATCCCAGAACTTTAAAAAAAAAATGGAGTCCTTCAGAAAGTAGCTGATCTGAAATTCAAGGGCACACCCCCCAGGCCCAGGCTGAACCGGACCTATAGATGGTATTTTCTGACTTACTTTCTTCGAGCATTTAAGTGTTCTTGCCTTCCTTTGCTCACCTGGTGTTTCCCAGAAAACACAGTGCAATAAAAATCAACATATGACAGGAGGCAGCTTAAAGTGATCCATCCCAGTGCCTGCTAATCTACCCTCAGAAACCTCCCGCAGCCCGCGCCCCGGCGCCGGCAGATCGCCACTGGGTCCGAATGTATTTTCCGAGGTGACTGGTAGGTGCGCTGAGAATGGCGTCTGTCTTCCCACGAAAGGCCACTGTATCTGTCACCCCGATTTCTTCAGCTGCAGAACCGAAGTGGCCTGCTTGCATCCTGTCAAGTTTATCTTCCTCATATTTTATGAATTCCTTTGCCCAGCCGGAGCGGCCCGCTGGGGATCAGAGTGGTTTTCCCGTGGAAGGAACACTGTCCCGGGAAGCCAGCTTTAGCAAGATTTGTGGAACACAGAGGATAGAAAGGGCTTTGGCCAGAAAGTGCTGACTCCAGTGTGGAAATACCAGGAGCATGAGTCCTCTGCACGGGGGAGCTCCGCAAGCTATTCCTCTCCCTTCTAAACTCCTCCATTCTGATCCCAATTTGAAAGGAAAAAATAATATGATCCTCTCTTTAAATTAGAGGACTCTGAGCTGGATGGACATTTATAAATTAAATGACAGCCTGAAGCCATCTTCACAACACACACCGCCTCTTCCACCCAGCCCTCCTCCTCCACCCAGCCCCCCCTCCTCCACCCAGCTCTCCTCCTCCTGCTCCCAGCCCTCCTCCACCCAGCCCTCTTCCTCCACCCAGCCCTCCTCCTCGTCCCAACCCTCCTCCACCCAGCCCTCCTCCTCGTCCCAACCCTCCTCCACCCAGCCCTCCTCCTCCCAGCCCTCCTCCTCCCAGCCCTCCTCCTCCTCCCAGCCCTCCTCCTTCCAGCCCTCCTCCTCCTCCCAGCCCTCCTCCTCCCAGCCCTCCTCCTCCTCCCAGCCCTCCTCCTCCTCCCAGCCCTCCTCCTCCTCCCAGCCCTCCTCCACCCAGCCCTCCTCCTCCTCCCAGCCCTCCTCCACCCAGCCCTCCTCCTCCACCCAGCCCTCCTCCTCCTCCCAGCCCTCCTCCTCCTCCCAGCCCTCCTCCTTCCAGCCCTCCTCCTCCTCCCAGCCCTCCTCCTCCCAGCCCTCCTCCTTCCAGCCCTCCTCCTCCCAGCCCTCCTCCTCCCAGCCCTCCTCCTCCTCCCAGCCCTCCTCCACCCAGCCCTCTTCCTCCACCCAGCCCTCCTCCTCCACCCAGCCCTCCTCCTCCCAGCACCCCTCCTCCACCTAGCCCTCCTCCTCCTCCCAGCCCCCTCCTCCACCCAGCCCTCCTCCTCCACCCATTCCTCCTCCTCCACCCAGCCTGCAGGAGCTGCTTCCTGTGGCCTCTCCCAAAGGTTCTTCTGCTGTTGGGAACAAGCCCCATCCAGTGGGAGACTGTCCCCTCTGCCCCAGAGAGTGATGATGATGTGGAACCTACAGTAGCTTCCCAGGGCTGCCGGAACACATGACCCCAGACCTGACAGCTTCAAACAGCAGAGATGTCTTCTCTCCCAGAAGCCTGGAAGTCGGAAATCACGGTGTCTGCAGGGCCTGCTCCCCATCAAGCCTCCGAAGGAGGATCCCTCTGGCCTCTTCCAGCTTCTGCTGGCACCTGGCGTGCATGCCCCCAGCCTCTGCAGCCTCCCTCCCTTGGCTTCCTCCTTGGAAGGTCATCTTGTCTGTCTCTCGTGAGGACGGGTGCTGGGATTTACAGCCCACTTGGATAATCCATGATATGATCTCATCGTTAGATCTTAACCTCAATTACATCTGCTAAGATCCTTTTTCCAAATAAGGTCATATCTGGAAGTTCCAACTGGGGTGAGGACACATCTTTTGGATGGGTCACTGTTCAACCCTCTACCAGCCTCAGCGGGAAGCCGAGGCATTTGCAGGCTGCCTGTCTATGGGGTGTGCCCAGCCCCAGCGCAGCCCTGTCTCCTGCCTCGAGGGCCAGCCCTGGAGCGCACAGAGTCCTCCCTCCCTGGAGTAACAACATGGCTCGCCCTTCATGTGTGTGTCAGGGGTGGGGGGCCCTGTAGGACCCCTCCCTGCACCGAGAAGCCCACCCAAAGGAGGCCTGCAAAGCCACTGGCATCGAACAGCTACAGAAGCCTCCTCTGGATAATGCATCGAAGTTGTGTCTTCAAGGCTGTCTGTTACATTTCCTCAGCCCACAGTCGCCAGAAGATCCTGAAGTGGGCTGCGTTATCACCATCATGCAGCAGAGGGGTGGCCCCTGGATGAGGCTGTGACTTGCCCGGGATCCCCGTTGGGGAATGGGGCCCAGACTTCCACTTCCCCCTCTGTGTCTGGGCTGCCCTTGGAACCACCTCTAGCATTGACACCTGGGTGGTGGCTTGTTGAGTGCGATGTAAATGGTAAGGAAAAGCATAACATGGAGCTGTTTAAATTCTCTCTCATTTCCTGCAGCAGAGAGACCGCGCTGCGTGCACCTGGCCTCTGCCCTGCCACCGTCTGGGTATGACCAGCCGGCAGGGAGGCCGAGTGCTAATCCCAGCTTCCCCTGGACTTACATAGCGGTGATAGACAGGCCTCTTCCGAGGACCTCAGAGCTGCCTCGGTGGGACTCGGCTCCCCCACCCGCAGCCCCATGCCGCCCAGCCGTCCTCTTCTCTGCATCTCTTTCTCTCAATTAATCCCCAGCAGCTATAGTACCGAGGGTTCTGGCTGTGTGCTCTCTGCGCTTTAATTAGGGGTCAGTGCGAACAGTATTATTTCCCAGGCTTGCCATGATTCTATTAAAATTTTCCTTTGTAGACATCAGGCACAGCCTGATTCTACAAAGGAACAAAGGGAGCAGGAATCCAGGGCAGAGCTGCTCACTCATCAGCAAGTGCTGGGCTTTCTTCCCTGTCACCGCCTCCAGCAGCGTAGCCTGGCGATGGCCAGGAGGTTTCAGCATTTACGGTAATGCACATCTCCCGGCACCTGGACTGTCTGGGAGAGATTCGGAAATTAAGGTGATCTTGGCAGCCAGCAGTGTGGTCATCAGCTAGTGACCAGTCTGCCGTGGTCTCAGGCGAGGGCCAGGCGCCCGTGGTCCAGCAGTCTGCCCTCCCCACTCCAGCCCTTCAGTATGGCTTTTCTGTTTTGCAGCCGCCAAGGCATTGTTTCCAGCCCAGAAAAGCTCAGTGAGGCAGGGAGTAGCAGCCCAGCTGTGCAGCCTGTTGAGAGGGTCCTGCTCTTGGCAAACGGAAGACTCTGAGCTGGGTCAGGGCTGAGATCCTGGGGTCAGCCGCGGTCTCAGGCTGAGGGATGAGGTCAGAGAAGGGGCACTTGTCCCCACGAGCACCGCCTGGCTACTGCATGTGGTGCAGATGCCACTTCTACATGGGCTCGGCAAACCCACTCTTGCTGGTGTAGACCCTGCCCCCTGCAGACCCTCTACCACATTTCCCAGAGCGACTTTCCCAGACCTTCCCTGCCTCTGTCCCTATGTCCTCCTTCCCTTCATCAGGACAGGAATGGCCATCTCACTGTCACATGTGGACATGGAGGCTCCATGAGGTGGAGGGACCCATGAGTGTCTGGGCCGAGATGGGCACGTGTCCGTCACTGGCCATGGCAGACGTGGCCACCCCACCGTGCAGCCATCGAATACATCCTGACTGCTTCCTGGCGCTCCTGGCTTCTGAGCACCTAGATGAGATGAGAGCCTTGCATCTTTAATTAGTTTATAAAGCTGCTTCCTAAATGAGCCCAGCTTAGACACTTAAACTTCTGAGGCAGCTAAGTACCCCTGTGCCATCTGACATGCCCACACTTGCTGGGACTACCATAAATGGTCACTGGCTGCACTGATGCATTCATGCTTTTTCATTCATTCATTCATTCATTCATT